AATACTTTGAACAACTTGGTTGATTATGGCTTTGAAAACTTCAATCTCAAATTTTTTCAGTGGATCTTTAAATAAATGGTGCTCTGCAGTTTCTCCAGGCATTTGTTTCTTCCGAGATTCTCTTTTATTTTTCATGCAACTTTCCAACTCTAGTTCATCATCTTTATTTTCTAATTTTAATTGTGTTTCTATATGGCGAATAAAATCATTCGCTTCGTTCGTTACTTCTTCAAACTTATCGAACATTGCATTGATGTTAGAATTCGCTGCTGACACAATATTAAAAGATTGAAGTAAATCAATACCATATGTTTGCAGATATTTGGATGCAGGTGTAAGATACGAGAATATTTTGTTCATAATAACCGTTAATAATATAGCTTCATATTTACATAGGTAATTAAGGAATGCCGCAGCTTCGGAAATAGTCTTAGAGTCGAAATTAGTGGAAGCTTTGATTTCACACAAAACAATCAATAATGTGGAATATAATTCATTTTTAAAATTACTGTCGGTTTCTTTAGACCCTATCAAATTTTTAATAGCCAACCCTTTGCTCCACCATCGTGTGTCGCAAATTTTATTTAACCGTCTGTTATTATCTGTTTTATCACTCCATATTTTCATACGTTTGTAGGATTCAGACAAGAACACACTAATTCGGTTAACTGTACCAAAATACGTTTTTATAATTGCATTAACCTGAACAGCGTCTGACACTACTAAATTTAGTGCATGAGCGTAGTACCAATTATAAATAATATTAGGCGACTCTGATTTCAATAATGTCCTTAAACCACCGTATTGGCCCGACATATTTGCAGCACCATCAAAACTACACCCAACAATGTTTTCCATTGGAAGATTTAGCCTTTCAAATTCATTTTGTAACATTTCATGTAGAGACACGGCTGTAGTTGATTCCACACTGACTAAAGTAATGAGTCTTTCAAGTACAACATCGTTATGCACGTATCTACACACGACTGAACATTGTTCAGAAACGCTTAAGTCTTGTGTAGTGTCAACCTCAACGCTAAAGAACTTTGCAGTTCTTATTTCACTAGCAATAACATTTTTTATTATTGTTCCTATTGCAATAATTATGTTATTTACAGTTTGTTTACTTAAAAAGGTTATTAAATTACCTCTACCTTTTGAATGTACTTCTGTTTTTCGTTTTTGGCTTTTTTCGACTGCGGTGTCTAAATGCATTTTAAGAACGTCATCGTACTTGGATAAAAGCAGAACAAGTTCCAAAAAGTTTCCTTTGCTTTTAACATTCGAGTCGTAAATAGTACAAAGAGTCTCATTGGTACCTCTTAAAGGTAATCCTTGTTTTCCAATAAATTTTATGATATCGATTACTCTATTTAGTATCATTCGGTTTTTTGATATATTACTAAGTCTCGCATTTTCGAAAAAACAATCAACTGTTTGCTTCTTTTCACAGTTTAGTAAGAAAACTGTAGAAGCGTTTTCATGTGATTTTGAATTTTCATGGTCACCGATTCTCAAATAAATATGGGACCAATTATTAAATCCACTAACAAAAATACTGTTTGAGTTTAAGTTTGAAAATGCCATGCAAATATAGCAAAATAGTTTTTTAAGTTTAGTGGAATAAGATATCCATTCACGTCTTATTACGTCACCGTTCTTTAATGTTTTAAAATACACTTTACTTTCATCAAATGGAAGTTTATTATATTCGGCTCTTGGCTGGATTGGATGAAAACGCGCAAAAGTTAATTTTTCATGCATATCACTTTCATAACAGCTTCTAAATAAATATTCTTCTTCTTCGTCGGGTATAGTAACCACTTCCGTATCATATTTAACGATATCATTTCCTGTTTTATTCTTGGGGACTTTAGGGGTATTAGTAGAAGTATGTGGGACATTTAAATTTTCTCCAAATGTAGGTATGTTTGTCCATGAGGATTGAGATGGAGCTTCTTCATCAAGTAGAGAATCTTGCACTTCAGCTTCAGTTACATCGGTAATGAAAGGTAAAATTTTAGAGTTGTCTGGCGATTTCGTATTCGTTTCAATAACATCAGAATTGTTAGGTTCATTTAAATTTATTCGTAATGTGTCTTCCCTTTTCGGCACGCAATGGGCTTGGTCAGGTGATTGAAGAAAATTGTTAATTTTTTGTTGGCTGCTTACGTTTCCCACTTCGTCACGTTTACGTTTAAGGGATTTCGTTCTTTTAGATGCTCCACTTGGATATACACGTTTCTTAGTTTGTGCAGCTTCAGCCATTGTTTGAGATTTGAGGGGACGGGGACCCGACAACCTTAAATATTATATGTACATTAAACAACCGTTGCCCTGTTGCCCAATTTACTTATTTTCAATTTCATGTACATTTTGAGGGCGAGTTAAAAAAAAAACAATTATGTATTTTTATTTTTGTGGAATAAGTTTAAAGTTTTGGATTCTGACAAGAAGAATTCCAAGTTTATTAAACGATGCGATGTTACGTTCCGTTTACTTTTTTTCTTGTGGGTTGTGAACCCCACTCCCTTAATGAAATGATTTATCTTTTTACAGATTTTTATACCGATTACAAATATGAAATAGTTAACGTAAATATAGATATCAAAATACCTTGGTACTTATATAATACTTACTTACCCAATGAAACAGATTCGTAAACGTAGGTAATAAGTAATAACGCAACTCAATCAAAGTAAACTTTACACTTTATAATTATTATAGTACGCAAACTTATGCAACGTTAACGTAAACGTAAAACGACACTGCTGACTAGTGACTGCTGTCGCATCCGGCATCTTTCATGTTACTGAACTGAATAAACAATAAACAGTTTTCATTTATTACCTGCACCGGCTTGCACTGCATACTGCATTAGACAGCATTCAGCATTCTCCGAAAAGTAATGACAGATTGTAAATTTAAAAGGATTAAATTTTATTCTTGGTAAGCGAACTTTTAGTCGGAATTTTGCATAGAAGATAAATTATGTAAATAAACCTAGGCGGCCTGTAAGGGTCTACCGTCTACCTAACAGTTCTTTGTGGTGCCATATAATTGATCGGAAATTTACTTTTTTTCACTTATTAACAATATTAAGCATTGAATTAGGGCCCCCCGGGAAATCTCCCGGTATCCCTCCTGTCCAGTCCGGCCCTGGAAACATTGAGTTTTGCAATGATCTCGCTGGCAAGATGAGTCGTGCCGAAACGAAGAATAAAATATCTACCTCACAAATACGTGAACCTGTAGTTGGTTGCCATTTATCGGGTCCTCGATCTCGTCTCATGTTTTGCACCCACTTCGACCGCCGAGGCTCATCTGCTGGGATTCGGTATAGACTGTACCGTTTCTCAGATCGGTTACTGCAATTTGGAGCTGCACAGCAGGGCATTTTTAAAATGCTTTCTTGATAATCTGCCATAATAACCCTAATAACACATGATATCCCAGGGATGTACCATTAGGGTCTCTACAATGCCCCAATGTCCCGGCCCTAAGTGCGACAATCCTGAGATGTTCTCTTTGGTACATTCCTAAGACGTTTTACGTGGGATGTTCGATAAACATTCCATACAAAGCCTAAATAACAATCTTACAATTCTTGAGACGCTTCCGCGGCAATTTAGTTAAATATGCTTAAAAAATGAATTTATGTACATTAATCTTAAATTTTCTCGATTTAAAAAAATTATCACGACGGGATTCGAACCATATCAACCTTTCCATCCATCCTCTATAATTTATTGAAACGGACATTGGTGGCGCTGGTGTCAAGCGTGAAGCGTGGCGTGGTTATTTTAGCGGTCTTTCGTCTCGTGTATCGGTGTTTGTGAGGTTAAGTTGAGTTTGTGTTCAAGTTTCGTTTTATTATTCAATCTTTTTGCCGGCGGTTACGAAATTTGTTTGTGCTGAACGTCGGTAAGTACTTACAAATTACAATATTAACTGCTATACATATAGTTATTAATGTTAAAAATATCTTCGTTACAATTAGGTAATTACTTAAATTACTCATTCATTACCGTTTGATATAGGTACCTATTATTACCAATACCTATCCCATATTCATGGATCCCTCATCAGAAAAAAGAAAATTATTCAATAAGTTCAGTCAACGTTTTAAGCGCTTAAAGCAAAGTAATGAAAGTTCTCAAGTAAAAACTCCCGAAAATCCCGCTCAGAGTAACCCGGATGATTTTGAAGCAGTTGACAAGCTCGTAATTTCATCTGCTCTGTCGTCTCATTACACTGTTGAGGAGGAATCATCTCGTGAGACAGATACGGAATCGGATAACAGTGAATCCCATGACAGCCAAAATATAATTCAGGGAGACCAATATGATAATGTCACAGGCCAACCATCTCTTTATTTAAATAAAAGTATTGAAGAGTCCGAGCAGTGTCGGTCTTTACCTTTAAATATTTCCTTGTCAAATTGGGCATTAAAACATAATATCAATCATACAGCCTTATCTGATCTATTAATTATATTAAAACAAGAACACCCAACGTTACCAAAAGATGCAAGGACCTTTTTAAAAACTCCTCGACATGCTGGTTCACAAATTAGGTGTGTAGCTCCAGGTTCATATTACCATTTTGGTTTAGCGCAGTGTTTACAAAATATACTCGCACAGTTGTTAAAAGAAAATCGGTTTATACCCAGTGTTTTAGAAATTTGTGTAAACATAGATGGCTTGCCTATTTCTCAAAGTTCCAGTAATCAAGTTTGGCCTATAATGATCGAGGGGTTGGTCACGGAGGAGATTTCTCGTTTCGAGCTAAGGCAATCCGAGGATATTCGAGGAGATCTATAGGGAGATTCGAGGAGATCCGGGGAGATTCAAGGAAATCTGAGGAGATTCGAGGAAATCCGAGGAGATTTTGAGGAGATTCGAGGAGATTCCGAGGAGATTCAAGGAGATTCTGAGGAATGCGAACTGCAAAGCGTCGCGTAAGCAACGTTGTGTGGAAATTTCCGATCCTCGCTCGCAGTTTTGACTCACCAACTTGCAACGCATCTAGGAGGGGTTTATCTTTGTTTTGTGCAAGCACATGCGTTTGTTGCTTTCTATTTTTAGTTTCATCCGCATAAAGCATGTGATTTGTGCAAAATTTATGTTGTGTAATGTGTTGTGAATAAGGATTTCGATGAAGGTAAGTAAAAAAGTGTTTTTTTTTCTACATATTCATAGATTAGGTATAAACACAACAAAAGGTACATTTTCAATTGCACTTAGAAATTTGCTGTCCAGATTGAGAGAAAATTAATGGGTATTTTTTTAGAATAAAAACTTGGTTTTTGTAGACACTGCACCAATGTATCTTAGCCGCAAATTTGTTCTTTATTTACCTTTGCATTTATGGTTATAATAAGCAGTGTTAATACCTCGTATTTCTCCTTCGACTTTAGTTTAATATTTTTTCAAGGTAAATAATATATCATTTTCATTAGCACTGCGCTTATACGAAGTGCGTCAAAAATATTATTTGGGGCAAACTCCTAGTGGCGGCGCACTTTGACAAAATGCATGAAGATTTATTTCAATTCCACCTCGAATTTCACACTTTATCTGTAATTAGGTCTTAAGTGCTAGTGATACATCCGAGGATACATCGGATGTTACCACAGATGTATCTACCCCTTTTTCAAACATTGCTTCTGTCCTTCATTTCAGCGTGCTGACCTACCATTTTGTGGCTTGACTATGGGCTCGAATATGAATAACGAACACACAACCAACAGTGCGTACCAAGGTACGGACGAATTTGAGAAAGAAATACCAGCATTACCTCAAGATTTAAAAAATGTTTTAAAAATTTCGGGTTATTACAATATTGAATCATTAAGTAACATTACAAACGATGATATACAGGCAATAGAACAGTTTGGAAGGGAGGAACTAACCAGTTTAATAGACGAAGCCGAGTACGAGCAATATTTCGGAGTGTATAAAAGAGTACCACAAAAGTTTAAACTATTACCTGGTCATAAGAAGTTGTTAAAAATCGCATCAGAGACACTTAAAAAAAAATTAAACGAACAAAAAAATATTCAAAAGTTTCAAAATCCATTAAGTTCTCGACAACGTAATTGCCCAAAAACTCAAGTGAGAGAGGAAGTTATTGATTTGCATTTAGAAAAAAATAATTTAAGAAAAGAGCTCTTAAAAAAGTGCAAAGATATAATTCAGGAAGCAACTTTAGATTTAAACAAAAAAAGTGAATATCTTACCAGATTGGACAATATTGAGGTAACTGTTCAAATAGGGCACAATGATGACCTGTTTGGCACAGTCTGTTGTATATTATGTCAAAATAAAGTAAAACTTTTTTTTGAACAGCGAAAAAGTACTTGCGCTCCGCGGTGGTTAAGAGGAAATTTCTACAAGCATTTTAAAGCGCACTTTTACACCAAGATCCCTGCCAACAAATCAACTTTAGTGTCAAACGAAATCGAGAATGAAACGAATTCCCAAGGCAATTGTCGTCCAAATAAAAAATTTAAGACAATGCTCAATTATTTAGAAAAACCCTCGGAAAACCCCAAAATCGATTTTTTAAGTGTGTCGGGCATCGAAAAAAATTCGAGTAATACTAGTCACGTTGTTTCGCACATCGATTGTGAATTTAATCTCCAATCAGAACCCAAACGTCCCAAACCATCGTCAACAATAACCTCGACAATAACTAACGATCAAACTCGTGATCAACTAACGAATCAACAAGCGTGCACTAAAAAAGTTAATGTAATACAAAATGTGTTACTGAACACAAAGTCTGATGATACAGTGAAATCTCGGGTGGAATTTGAAAACAAATCAGAGGAGAATTTAAAAATTCCAGATCGAGCTGCAAATTCAAGAAGTGACAGGATCAAACGCAAATTATCTGTAATACCTCAAAATCAACCCTATATAACAACATTTTTCCCTTATGTAAATAGCGTAGAGAAAGTGATGCAAGAAAATGCAGAATTAAAAAGATTATTTTTGGATAACTGTAAAAAAATAAATGTTTTTGAAAACCATCCCAATGAAAGTAGCGACGACGAGAATATCAAAGGTTTGTTAAATTTGCTAATCAAAACAGCCACAGCAAATAACAATAATACAAAGAAAAGCAATAAGTACAACCTCACCTTAAAGAAATTCTCTAATTATCTATTTATCATCGGAGGCAGATTACTATACGAGACTTTATATCTAAATTTGAATGGAGCTTTGCCTTCTATATCTACTGTACAACGTGAACTATTCAAAAATTGTTCCATCGAAGAAGGTGTTCCAAGAATCAAGCAGCTGAGTGAACATCTATCGAAACGCAATTTTCCAAAAACAGTGTGGCTTAGTGAAGATGGAACACGTATTAATGGCAGGATCCAGTATTGTGCATCAACCGATACAAATGTGGGGTTTGTATTACCTATTAATCCTAATGGATATCCAAACAATATGGCATTTAAAGTAAGTATAAGAGATTTTTTTCGAAAGTTCACAAAGATTTTTTTGTATGTTTAGGCAACATCAATCCAGGAAGTTAAAAGACAGTTTCCGGAAGAGAGTAAGGCTAACTACACCTATGCGTTGGTGGCCCAACCTCTTATAGCTAAAAGTCCGCAATTTTGTTATTGTCTGTATGGCACAGACAATAGGTTCTCCTCCAGTGATGTGCTTCAGCGATGGAGAACCACAATAGCTATGGCCAAAGATAATGAAATTGAAGTTCTTGGCATGTCATCTGATGGGGACAGTAGATTACTAAAGGTAATGAAGTATGTAACAAAGTTATCTTCCGCGCAAAACAATGATGGATGGCCGTGGTTTCATGCTGAACTTAACAACATTTTTCAAAAGATGTGCACCGTTTAGTGCTAACTGATATTAATTCTCAAGATAAAATGAATTTCACCGCGGTGTTAAAAATATGTGATGCAAAAGTATTAGATTTATTAAAAAGTGCAGTTCCAAACAGCGAAGCGACTATCTTATATTTGACTATTGTAAAGAACGTTCTGGATGCTTACATGCAACAGGATATCAAATTGGATGAAAGATTGTATAAGATATGGTATAGTGTATTTATACTACGAATCTGGAGGCAGTGGATTAAAGAATCCGATATATATACATTGAAAGACAATTTTATCACATTAAATAGCTATACGTGCATTGAATTGAATGCTCACGCCATGATTTTACTTATCAGAAAATTTGTTAGTGACAATAATTTGTCACCGAACATGTTTCTTCCCCATCTTATGAGTAGTCAGCCTTGTGAGCAGCTATTTAGAGCTACGAGATCCATGACCAGTACCTACTCTACTGTGGTGAATTACAGCATGTTAGAAATTTTACATAGGTTAAACCGTATTCACTATCTAGAAGATGCAAAGCATGAACTTCAAGGAAATTTCAATTTTCCCAAGAGAATGAGAGTCAGCACTACAACTGAAACTTACTATGAACCCATGACTGATTGTGATATAGAAGCTGTAGTATTAAAGTCACAAAAAGACGCAATACATACTGCTGAGAAAATGGGAATCATAAACTGCGACAGATGGACATCTATGATGGAGCTGAACAAGGTACAAATAGATGTAGATTGTGACGAAAAATCAAATGCTGGTAATGAAGAGGACGGCGACCGAATCGATGATGTTGTGCAATGCGAGGTGCCATGTGACGAACAAAGTACGGATACATCAAACAATAATACATTGATAGAAGCGATTCAAGAAAATGGTGATGATGATGTGGATGCAGAGGACACTGAGGTATTGAAGCAATGCTTCGGCGAATCGTTAGACTTAAAGGATTACACAGAGAAGGTGGACCTAGATACAAATAATCTATCAGGAGGCCCGTATTTAAAAGTGGTTTTGAAAAATGGTGCCACTAAAACCGTAAAAAAATCTTCAGTATGTTGGATGCTAAATGAAAATATATCAAGATTGAGTGCTGACCGATTATATAGGTTTAAAGGCCAAACGAATAAAAAAAATATAGTGTTAAACAAAAATAGAAAATGTATTAAATATGTAACCGAGGATGAAAAAAACTCTAAAAATCAAGTAAGGAAACGTAGAAGCCGAGATAACAGCTCATCAGAATCGGAATTGGAAATTGAAAATATCGGCCTTCACGATTCAGAAGACATTTCAGATGAAGAACCGAAAAAGATAAGTAAAGTCAACGTAAACATTTTGAATGAACATTACTATGCTGTGAAGTACGATGCTGCGTGGTATATAGGGAAAGTGGTCAATGCAAAGAAAGAAGGGTTGGTGCAAGTGAAATTTCTGAAAGAAAATCTTCAACATTTTTATTGGCCTAAACAAGAGGACGTACAAAACGTGGAAGTGATTCAAATTTTTTACGGACCTATAAAAATGTTAGGTTCAAAACCTATGAGTTTATCGTGGTCAGACAGACAACAAATTTGTAATTTATACAAAAATTTAAAAAAAAGTTAATTACTTAAACTTTACTTTGTTCCCTCGTTTGTTCCTATCGTTAATATTAGAATGTATTCAATAGGTATCGATAAGTAGAAACAGTGTTATTTTGTTTTTTTTAATGTCCAGTAATTATATTTGATTTTACATTTTTTTAATAGAAGCATACCTGTTTTTTTTAGTACGTTTTATTTTGAAATACTCGTGCGCAATGTGGTAAGTATTGTTTTGTTATTTACGTTTCTACAAATTGGAAATCAAATCCTCATTTTTTAAACATTATACATATACCTATTATCACCAATCTAAAAAAATCCGGAAATTCAAATGAAATCCATGAGATACAGAAGATTAAGTATATTGCGATCCAGAGGAGATCCGAGGAAATTCGGGGGAGATTTGAGGAGATCCGAGGAGATTTGGAGGAGATCCAAGGAAATTTGAGGGAGATCCAGGTGATTTGGTGGAGATCCAAGGAGATTCGGAGGAGATCCGAGGAGATACAGGAGATTTGGAGGAAATCCGAGGAGATTTTGTGAGGAGGCAATCTTTCGTACCAAATAATGTGTAGTGAATAACCCCTCGATAATGATCAATTTATTCAAATATACAAATATTGTCGAGATTTGTGGAATTTATCAGGGAAATGAAAAGCCACACAGTTCTAATGATTTTATGTTAGATTTTGTTATGGAGGCAATTGAATTAATAAATAATGGTTTTTTCTACAATACAATTTGTTATAATGTAAAAATAATTGCATTTATATGTGATGTGCCTGCGAAATCATTCTTAAAATGTATAAAGGGGCATAGTGGATATATGTCGTGTACTAAATGTAACATCGAAGGATCTTATATTGAAAATCGAACATGCTTTCCAAGCTTAGAGGGGTGGAATTTAAGAACAGATTCAGGTTTTCGAATGAAAGAACAAAGCAGTCATCATATTGAAACGACTATTTTAGAATCTATTCCCTGTGTCGATATGATTAAGTCGTTCCCCATTGACTACATGCATTTGGTGTGCTTAGGTGTTACAAAAAAACTTCTAAATAACTTATGGCTCTGTGGTAAACCACCTCATCGTTTTTCATCACAACAAATTAAAAATTTGTCAGATCATTATCTCACATTTAAAAACCAAATACCTTATGAGTTTATGAGAAAGCCAAGGTCATTTCTGGAAGTCAAAAGGTGGAAGGCTACAGAATTTCGTTTATTTCTGTTTTACCTGGGTCCTATAATATTAAGAAAAAGAGTCTCAGATGAAATATATGAAAACTTTTTGACCCTCCATGTATCAATGACATTACTGTCAAAGTGTGATAATTTACTGTATGCTAAGCAGTTACTTAGACATTTTGTACTAACTTACACAATGCTTTATGGAGAAGCAAATGTTTCCCATAATATACATAACTTGCTTCATCTTACTGATGATGTTGAAATATTTGGCAGTGTTGAAAACTTTAGTACATTTCCATTTGAAAATAAGATGATGTATATAAAAAAACTAATTCGTAAAGGTGATAAAACCGCTGCAGCAAATCGTTAATAGAATATCCGAAAAAACACACAAATTCTATTTAATGATAGCAAAACAATTACGTATCCAAAGTTCCAAATTGAACATTCGAAAGGTCCACTAATGGAAAATATATCTGGCGATAGATGGCAACAATTTGAAAAAATTGTGTTTGAAAAGTTCTTATTATCAATACAAGATGCTGATAATTGCTGTGCACTTATTGACAAAAGTGTGGTCATTATTAGAAACATTATAGTAAGTAGTAAAGGTAAATGTATTAAATTAATTGGTAACAAATTTTTAACCTACGAGGACTTTTATACGTCTCCCTGTAAGTCTTCAAAACTTAATATTTATTTGGCAAGTTATTTAGAAAATGAATTGAAATCATGGGATATAAATGAAATTGCCTATAAATGCATGAAGTTGTCTTATAAGACCAAATTTGTAATTTTACCATTAATCCACACAAACTAAGATTTATACAAATTTTTTAGCTTTTTAAGGTGGGCGTACACTGCAAACGAAATATATAAATCAGCTACTTATCGACCTACTTCCATACTTTTAAGGCATTCCAGGTCATCTATGCTAAACTGGACGAAGATTGAAATCATAGTTTCATTTAATTCATTTCAGCCCATGTTAGATTTAAAAGGCTTTTTCAGTTCATATACTAAACTACCTAAACGAAAACTGCCTCCAGAGTTGCTCAAACTTAGTTTAATTGTCCTTAGCTGATTTTAATTTCGTTTATTTCGCAATGCCCGCGCCCCTTTAATATTTTCTTATGTTTATATATGTATAAGAGTTGTATAGCACACACATTTATTAAAAGTTTATGGGACGAAATTTTCACACATGTATCTACGTATAACCATTGAATAAAAACACTATAAGAAGCCTAACGCTTATGGAAGAAAGCGCGACAAATCTCACAAATCCCCTTGCACCCCGCATTGGTTGTGACCACCGAACTCTCTTTGCGGTAAATAGGAGGAAAGCAAATTCTCATTCTTCTCAGTTCAAGAATCGACTCTATTGACAGTGTTCCCATTATATTCTCAGTTCAAACTCTGTCGCGCTTTATTTCCACGGGGTTAGGCTTCTTATAGTGTTTTTATTCAATGGTATAACATAGGTCTATTATAAGGTGTTTCTGTTCTTGTTTTGCCCTTTTGTTGTTTTTTTAGTTCCTATGGCGTCTCCAAATAATACATGGACTGTGGTGTGTTTCACCAATGATGAAACGGTGGAGGCAGTTCCGACAAAATGGTTAAGTGGAGATCAGTGCTTATGGCCAGTGGTAACTAGAGACAAATTAAATACCTACATAAGAAAATGTGAATTTAATTCATGTTGGCCATCACACACTGTGAGAACATTTCGGAATGCAACATATGGTAATCTTCATATTTGTGGTATTAAAAAAATAATTTGTGAAAGAATATGTACCTAATTTTTGATTAATGAAAACAAAAATTTAATTAGATAATAATCAAAGTGAAAAAGGAATTTTTTTTTTAGATAATTACTCTGTTGCGAGGAGCAAAGCTAATAAAGCTGAAAATACAAGTGACCTGAACACAGATTGTGATGATGGTCCTTTATCAGGAAAAAGGAAAAGAAAGAAAAAAGTGATCTCTTCATCTTCAGACGACTCATCAGACACTGAATCTATGAATGAGAAGCGGGCCAATAAAGGTAAAATGCCTTCTCCACCAGCATGGACTGATGATGAACATCGGACTCACAAAGATTCACATCAGTTAGGTAAGAGGCTGTCAAAATATTTTTTTATCAATTTTAATATAATGTTCAGAGTCCCTGAACACTTCAAATTAATGTTGCAACATTCTGTTTTATCTGAGTTCTTATATTTTATTTACCTTTTGTAGCTGAACCAGAAGCATGCATAGATGAACTTGAGGAACAGGTGGTTGTGGTACCACCTGTTATTGAATCATTACCTTCAACCTCGATTGCCCCTAGCCAACAAGAAAATGAAATTAACAATATCACACCACGAAAGCCTATAGACTCCATTAAGGAAAATATAAGCAAGTTTATTTAATTTTGTTAGAAATAAATTGATGTCTAATCAAATTTTTTCAGGAAGGGCAGACCGAACAAAATGTTGTTGCAATCCAGCTTTACTATACAACATTCAGGCATTACTTATCGAAATCAATAACAAGCTGAACAGTGTACCTAGGAAAGCTGAGGAAAATGAAGAAAATATCATTCGGAAATCCGGAATTAGTTTTCCTATGGAAACTATTCAGGAATTCGACAAATTTGAGAAATTCTTTTCGGCAAGAGAAAATTATTTAGCTTTGGTAATATTTTTTATTATGTTATTTAAACAATTCATAACCAACTTCGGCTGCACAAATTCCCAACTTTCTTTATATCAATTCTAAATTGGCATCAGCATTATGTTGGTAGTATGGTGCAGCGCTACCAGTATTAATGGTCTGTTGTTGTCAAGCTGCTGTAGATTTGTTTCAAGCATTAATATATAAAACACGTTTTATAACCATTAATTTTAAATTATACATGACATCAATATTGATTGATTATGTCATTGTTGTCTATGACGCACTGCTCTGATTAAAAGACTGCATGAAAAGCAATGCTTTGTATATTTCATTTAAACTTACCAATGTATGATGCAATGTATTTTTTGCAGGTTGGATTTTTCTCATCTATTGGAGGAGCTAATTTATATGAATTTGTACGTAGATGCCTTGCTCCTCTACTATGGGATGGATTATCGGAACAGTTTTCCTTCTTTGGAAAAAAAGGAAATCTTTCCTTTGGGGATAAAAATTTGGCAAAAATAGTAAATACATTGTGTTAGTTTAACGAAATTGAGCGAATTAAACAATATTAATTCTCTAATGTCTTAAATATTACGCACATTATACCTACACACTGACCAGTAAATCCTGACTTTCAAGTTCTGGTGTGCACATTAGTGCGCAGTTCAGCAAAGCTACACATGGAATTTGTTAATCCCCAACATGCAGGTCTAATAGGAACGTTTCATGACCAGGATTTGCTGATCCATAGAGTAAAATATAATGAAGTTTAGTAACGTTTATATTATAATTTTTTCTCTATGGCTATCGATTTCGGCAACATTGCCATCATCAGGCCTAGCGTCAAGGTTTAAAAGGCAGCGTATTTATACATGTCACTTTAACACTTTATAACCACACTTTACACAACGTTGCTACTAGTTTATCTTCTATAGTCATTCCATTTCCACTTTCGTCAGTAACACGCAACGCACTTCATGACATGTATAAATACGCTGCCTTTTAAACCTTGACGCTAGGCCTGATGATGGCAATGTTGCCGAAATCGATAGCCATAGAGAAAAAATTATAATATAAACGTTACTAAACTTCATTTTACTCTATTCATAACGTTTATCAAAAATGGAGACGTACATCAAAAATATTGCTGATCCATATTGGTCTGTACAGAAATAGTGTGCACAATATTTTTTAATGGACGAGAGATACTTGATTAATATGTGATATTAACTGTGTTATAAACTGTTTTGTTTAATACATTTTACTGCTGTGTATACATTGGTACAAACATTTGCAAAATTTTAGAAGCCGCTGAAAAAGGTGGACATGCAAAAAATAAAAAGGAAGTTGAGCAGAAACTGGGGGATTGGCTGCGAAGATCTAAGGAACGACGCATTCGGGCAGAACATAAACGTGCAACAAAAAAATAAGAATTTAGGTATGGAGAAGCGTGTTTTTTGTATACATACATACTTATAGAGCTTTATTTAGGTGCTATTGGAAACTTGAGTATCCCAAACACCATTATAGAATATTAAGGCAGAGGGCAATTTGTTGTTTAAGAGAATATTTTGTTTTTTACATGTTTTCTGTAAATACTTTGTATCAAACTCCATATTAAATCTTTGTTATTTTATTAAAACAAATTTTATTACTGCTTTTGAAAATCCCTGTTTTTATAAATTGGAACATTCCAACATCATCTTGTGAATGTCCCCGTGTAACATCTCGCATACATGTTTCTGTAACATCGCAAATGATGACATGGCTGTTGCCAGAGACGTCCCTGGGATGTCTATAGGAAAATAGGGACCTCTTAGGGATGTTTGTATTGTCTCATTGGAATGTTTTTAGGATGTTTGTGGGATGGAATTGTGTTATTAGGGAATATACGTGATAATGTAGGTATATGATTTGAATTGATGAATTTGATAAACATGCATGTAAGAAGTTAACCTAATTTTACAAGAAATTTTTGAGTTGGCAAACTTTATCAGAAACACATTTAGGGGCAAAGGCAACACATTCCTTGAACAAAAAGAATAACGATCAAGATTAAGTAATGTAAATAGTTTACCTTATTAAATTAATGTAACAGAATTGAAGTAAATACTTATTAATTCCTTCTTCCTACCGCACGTTGATATATAACTACACCAATTCGGCACTACACAAGCAATATTTATACTCCGAAAGAACGAAAATGGCAATACAACCATGAAAATTTATAAAAACAGAGCAACGTTTAGTAAACATTCACCAGCTGACAAGGCAACTCCCTCCATTGGCTGGGTCCAATATGGCGACCGAGCTTACTCACATTTAGAGAGCCTTAATACTACATGCTTAGTAGGTCAGATGTGTAAGCAGTAGATACAATGATTTGCAAATAGTTCTATAGTACACTAAATGGTTGTCAACGCTGCATAAGAACCACGTCAGAAAATTAATGACGTGCAACGAAAAATTTATTACGTATTTTACCTGTAATAATGAATACAATTAAATATCTAACGGTGCTCTACATATTTTATTGCAGCCAGCACCACAAAAATTACAAATAGATGGTAGCTTCTTAGTTTTAGAAAGTAATGGCACCCCGGTGGACGAAGAGGTACTACCATTACTACGTCCATTCGGAGGTGCCATTACCACGATTTCGTCTGGACAAATCATCGGCAACAGCAAGTACAGTAAAACCACTGTAACCTTAGAAAAAGTATGCTTTGCGCAGCTAATATAGAAGGCATGGGAAGGGATTGTATACTTCCAGTAAGAAGTAGTTCGTTTTTAGGCTCAGTGCGCTATTAATTATTGCTCAGTGAAAGTCATTGTTAAGGCCGCAAGTTTTCATCGTTTTCGTTTGTTGGTGCTGATATTGTTATTAGTTAGTAGTGTTATTGCGCGTACCTAGTTTAAAATGTCTCAGTTAGTAGGTGGAAAAGGACTACACTCCCAGACTCGCGAGGTGGTGTTTAATGTATTAAAATTTTTAGAAAAGATTGTGAACAAGGAAATAGAAATAAGTGATTCCTCAGTGACTGAATTAAAGCAGCATGTAGCAACAGCTACTGGAGTTTCAAGGGCTACAGTGTACAGTATTGTGAAAGAGGGAAATGAACACGAAGCGGTTTTCAAGTCTCCACGTAAGAAAAGAGTAAAAAAATGTGTAGTTACAGACATAGATGACAGGGATTTGTACGATGTTAAACGTATAATATACAATTTTCATAAAACCGACAATCAGCGAGTGACTATTAAGAACTTGTTGCAAAAATTATAAGGAAGCTTGGTTTTAGGTTTAGTGCTATACAAAACAATCGCAAAATATTACAAGAAAAGCCTGAAATTAGAAATCTTCGAACAAGCTATTTAAAAAAAAAGTTCTTGATTGTCTTAAAATTTTCAGATAATGAATATACGTTCAACAGCACAGAATTCCTAGAAAATCGCGTCCTTTACGTTTATGGAAATTATGTAAAAATTTAAAAAATGCATGGAATTTCTCTAATGTTAAGGTAAATGACTATTGTAGAATTGAGTAATGTGTTATTAACTAGTAATAAATAATCGATAACTTTCTTAATTATATTGACATTAATACCGTGAGTAATGTGCAAATACTACTTCTGTTCTGGTTGTAGTTTTCTGTTCCGAATGTACATAATAGCCGAACCTGGTAAGAAACACCGATCAAGTGCGGACGAATCCGAACATGCATGCGCAAATTTTCTAAGGTTACGATGGTTTTACTGTACCTTGTTGTATTCGGACATTTCAAATGTAACAATAGACCCGCCATGGGAAACTACTCTCAATTTGGAAGATTTTAGCTCGTCTAACAATATTCCGTCAGAAGAGTACTACCTCAAATAAATTCGCAGTGGTTTAGAAGGTACACTGAAATTCTGAACAGTATGACTTCGAGATCAAGTACCGAAAAGCAGTCCTCAACCGTGTTGGCGATGCTCCCTTAATAACGAGAACTACACTACCGAAAATTCCGAAGTACCGATTTATGCCCTTGAATTATCCGAATGGTCTTGGTACCGAAATAAATTTAACGTCGTACCCGACCGACCCTATACCGTACCGGATTATTGCGTCCGTAATAATAATTGGTACCGTCATTTCCATTCCAAACAGTTAAAAGATGAAACCGTTACAACACTCAATTAAATTAAATATTTGTTACGTTTTTTTTTTTTTAACTTTGTTTCATTCTGGCATGTGACGGGGAACTCTGCCGCAACGAGAGAGACCGGAAAGTTCGTCACAAGTCCCCCCAGTATTTTACATGAATATAACGATCCAGTTATACATGAAAAATTGAGAACAGGCAACAATAAAGGGTTGTGAATCATATTGTACATCTGGTGATATTTTAGTGGACCTACAGCACGATACACTACACGTATCGTGACCAACAGCGAAAACTGTCCTATGATAATGTCAACAAATTCAACATTTTCCGTAGTGATTTTATGGTAACGGGCGATCAAAAATAAGTTGCTGTCGAGTCGCCTATGGAAGTACGATTTCCCATGTAAACAAAAATTCCAAAGGTGACTCGATAGCAACCATGGTGTATACACCATGATAGCAACTAATTTTTGATCGCATAGTATTTGTGCAATGCGCCCCTTTTTCAAAATGTCTGTTAAATGTAGTGATATTGAGGGACCAAGGGGCCCGACAAAGAAATGTTAACGACTTGTTTTAGTAATATGATGTGAAAACGAAAACTTACCGTCAAAGTAAACACCAAGATCTTTCACTACATCAGTTCTTATTAGTTGAGAGGAATCAAGCATTAGCAATTGCCATTAGTACTATAGAATGATAGAATACAGATCCAGATTTTGCGGGAGCTTTGATTCGAACATGCTTGCCGTCAATGCTACCAATACAATTAGGCATGTTCCATAGTTCCTCATATCGTTGAGCAATTACAATCCAGATATTATGCTCTGAAGGTAAAGTCAAGTACTGTTTGTTAAGACATTTCCAAATTGTTTCTGTTGTCTCTTCTATAACCTTTCCCATCGTCGTCTCTCCTCGCATGAAGTGAAATGCTAGAACTCGAAAAGCGGCACCAGTGACAAGATACCTACAAAAAAATGTTATGTATAAATATACACTAGGTTACATATTGTCGTTGATACCGGTTCTACACCCTGTAGTCCCGGCAACGAAGCCCAAAAAAGGCTGAATAGAGGAAAAAAATCGTGTAGAAGCCAATTTTGGCACAGATGTAGGGGAAGGTATCCTGAACAACATACTAAAAGTACTGAGGGGTGGGGTGTGAGCTAAAGGAGGGGGGAAGAGCTAAAGGTCCCTTTTTTGAGTTTGTCGTGAATAATTTGAAAACGGTTGCTCCTAGTTAAAAATTTTGCTCTAGAGAATTAAACAGCATAAAATTATCTACAAAATGATATAGAACAGTATATAATAATAATACTTGAGATCCAGAGGGAAGAAAAATCAAAATTAGTCAAATTTTAACCGGTACGCACACGGGCAGCCCGAATGCGATTATGTTACGTAGGCGGGAGGGGGGAGGTCATTGCATGCTGGTGGACAGCAAGGACGTCATTAGTTCACTCTCATCACGCTATGAGGCTCCTATTGTTCAATTGTTTTATCCATTCAAATGCAACATGTTGTCGCATGAGGACGCGAACGAACTCGTTCAGTTTCACTGTCTTCAGTGAGTCTTTACGATAAGTTGCGCATCTTAAAGCTAGTGTGTTTAATTGACTTGTGTTTTACTTTACTTGATGCCACATGATTAACTATGGCTGATAAGCAAGGCAGTGATTTTATGCAAATGCATGTTTTAAATTAATAATATGCCATGTGTGTGCTTTTGGATCTGGGCTGATCAACATGAAGTTCAAATAACCCAATTAATTTTTGCATATTTTGCATATTTCAGTGCCCTTGTGCATAAAATATTATCAAGAGGATATTCAAGCATTTTTGATCCCTGTGTAGTTATTTCTAAAGAATTTTTGTCTCTGGCCTATTATAAAATTGCAAAGCAAGAAACTTTTGCGCTTTCCTGTTCCTACTTAGTCGACGCCACGGGTTTTGTGCATCTTAGTGAGTCATAAATTCCGACGATTGCATAAAAAGCTTATGCAGTTTTTACGTCTGCATTTGTAGTCGCTGCCGTAATTATTAGTTTTTCTTTGGAGTTTTACGAAGCAGTACCTACTTAGTAGCATTTTCCTTCTCGTTGTTATCAAAGGGTAGTGTAAGTTGAAATTACTTAGTTTTTAGTTATATTTTGTGCATTTTTTTTTGAAAAATATACTATGAAGTTGTTGCAACCTGTTGTTTTAAATACCAAAATTTGTGGAAAAATTGTGCATTTTAAAAGAACATGATGCATATTTGGTGCATAATTATCACTATTTTTGTGCAAATATATGCGCATATTTCTACATTATGAAGTGCATATTATTCCTTGCCTTGCTGATAAGTGTTTAATTTGCGAGGATGATGTTGACAGTGATTTATGTTATGTATAAGTGGGGAAAAATGGAATAAATGGATTAGTAAATTCTAGTATTCTGAGAAAAGATGGACAAGTTTTAGGAGGAAAGAGAGCGGCCTGTGTTTTTTTTAGAGATACAACAGTGGCTCAATAACCCCTTACCGCCCACCCAATGGGGTTGGGCCAAAGGAGAAGACGAGGTACTATTCCCGGTAACCACAAATGATCCAATGGCACTCGAGGCGATAGTTAACATAATATTTTGCCAATGTACAACTGGGTGCAGAGGGAGGTGTGGCTGCCGCAAAGCAGGAATTGCTTGCTCCGTCGCTTGCGGCAGTTTCCTAGGCATGTGCACGAATGGAGCCCCGAACGATACGATCGATGACGACGACGACAATGAAGATTTTGACTCCTGCCCACACAATCTCGCCTACGTATCATAATCGCAATCAGACTTGCCGTGTATTACGACTATTTTAAAATTTTTGATTTTTCTTCCCTCTGTATTTCATTAAGGATCATCATGACTTATATACTGTCTATATCATTTTGTAGGTAATTTTATGGTGTTTAATTCTCTAGAGCAAAATTTTTAATTAGGTGGAACCGTTTTCAAATTATTCACGAAAAACTAAAAAGAGGGACCTTTAACCCCTCCCCCCACCCTTAGCTCACACCCCACCCCCCAGTACTTTTAGTATGCTGTTCAAGATACCTTCCCCTACATCTGTGCCAAAATTGGCTTCTACACGATTTTTTTCCGCTATTTTTCCTTCGTTGCCTGGACTACTGTATGTAAATCTCTAAAGAAGGACTGTACAAGTTTTATAGCAGAAACACAAATATTTTGTTCTTTCTTCAATATATTTAATTTGTTTCAGCTACGGAATGTAAAAAAAGATGGAGAATGATGAGAGTAATTTTTCTGAGATGTAGACGAGAAAAAAAGAAACCATCCGGGTCCTCTGGTAAACAAAAGAAACCGCATTACTTGGAAGACGCAATGAAATTTCTAATTCCATTTACAAAATCGCGATGCCAAACTGGTAATGTATCCGATGATGAAAGGGCGAAACTGAAAGTGATGATAGAGAGAGTGAGGGCGTCTACAATTTCGACACTGAAGAAGAAGAAAATATGGACACGACGGTTCAAGAAACAAGTTCAAGAAATGAAGCAGAGGAACAAGTTCTTTCTACTACGGATGTCGATACTACAATTGTTCAAGTACTAGTGGCAAAAAAAACTCACAACAAAACAACCAGGTAGTACAACTTGGGAGCATGCTGCAGTGCAATGTTTAACTAATTTGAATAACAAATACAAAATGAAAAAGGATGAACCATCAAATGAGGAAGACAGTGGTCACCTTTTCTTGAAAAGTTTGTTGCCTGATATAAAGAAATTGAATGATGCCCAAAAAAGGCGCTACAAACAAAGAATTTTAGTTCTTTATGATGAGATTAAAAATGAACAATATGTACCAATTCCTGTATATTCTCCATCAATATCCGATTACTCATCAGCATCATCCGTATCATCTCATCTCATTATGAAGCTAATAATGAAGGAAGAAATACATGTCAAGCAGAAATCTCTTCGTACGCTTCTCTTCTGTCGGCTGCTGTTAATATTGATAAGAACTACGAATAAATCTTAATTGCCACTTACCTTAGCGTTATCTGTAGTTTTTCTTCAACACTAAGAGACAGTCTGAAATTAGTATCTTTCTTTTTTGGACTAGGACCAACCAGTGACGGCTCGTGACATTTGAAACTGCCGGTTCTGTTGTAACCAATATTGCGCATAATGATAATTGTAGGTATAAAATAAAATAAAAGTAGATTTAGCAACAAAAGAAAAAAAAAACAAAAATAATTAAAAAAAATTTATTCACCTGGAACTACTTACACATTTACACATTACTTTTTATAAATAAGCTCCATACGACGCTGTTTTTTAGATGCGAATTTATCAATCACTCGTTCATTGAAGTTTGGTGTTGCTGTTATAAATCTGCTTTCAATTGATAACACTGCTAGTGCTCTTAAACGTTCTTGAGTCATAGTGTTACGAAGAAAAGTTTTGATTCGAGTTAATGTAGAAAAACATCGTTCTGCTTCCGAAGTGGTCATGGGTATTGTTACAATAATTTCTAGCAATTTTATAACTTCTGGAAACACATCTTCTAAATTATTAACTTCAGAAACGCCACAGCTCCTTTTATGGTCCGATACTCCTCTCTTGAGTATATAATTGAAAGTTCTGTTCGTAATCGCGCTTTTACCAACATAGGGAAGGCATTAACTGTAGAGTTAAATTCATCTTCTGGAAACTGTTTTTCGTACTCTATAAATTTTTCCGGTAAAAGTAAACACACCGCTATTGTGACCAGAAAGCGTTCTTTTGCAGCTGTAGTAATCACATCACAAACTTCGTTTTGGATTTGAATCAATCACCTGACCACTTGCTTCTTGAGCTTCTTTCACAATCAGATCGATCGAAGCTTCCCTAATTTTGGCAATGTTTCTTTCAAATTGTGCAACAACATCTTTTACATTTGCTGCGTCAATTGTTCGTTTTTGCAAATGATTATACAGAATGTCTACATGCGGCATTACATGATGAAAGAACGTAAGCCAGAAAATAAATATTTTGTCCTCTAGCATTCTTTTGATCGCTGTAGCTTTGTTTATGGTTGTGTTGTTTTCGGTTAGTGTATTTTGTATTTCGTCCATGCAGTCGATAAGTGCTTCCCGGTGTTCAAAAACTACATTCACAGTTCTGCTTTTAAAATTCCACCTTGTTGGAATGGATCGCGGTATTTTCTTCCCAACTATTTTGTCTAATATTGAAACGCGTTGCGGAGAATTTGAAAAGAACACTGGAATGTCCTGTATAATGGAGAAAAATGTACGCACTGAGAGTTTTGTGATGAAGCCTTCCCCATTATTAAATTTAATTGATGGGCATAACAATGAACGAAATATGCATTGGGAAATGTTTGCCTAATTTTTGTTTGCACTCCACCAATCCTACCGCTCATCACGTTTGCCCCGTTATAGCTTTGAGCTATGAGTTTATGTTTGTTAGAACCCATCAGAGGATCAATAACATTCAAAATGTTTTCTGCTAAAATTTGAGCAGTATGTCCCGATGGCTGCAAAAATCCCCAAAAACGTTCAACTGGTACACCGTCTTTTATGTAGCGAAAAATTACGACCATTTGGAATTTCGCAGATACATCGGTTGTTTCATCAGCCATAACAGCAATAAAAGGCGCGGCAGAAATTTCTTTTCTAATTTCTTCGTAATATACCTCTAATATACACGCTAGCAGATCGTTCTGAATCTCTTTTGATGTTCCTTTAAAAACCGACGCATTTTGCAAGTGATCTTGCAAAGTCTTATCAAGTTCGGCGCTAAAGTTTATAAGGCCTCGGAATATACCAGCATTTGTAGAAGTTTCCGATTCGTCGTGCCCTCGCAATGCCAGCTCGAAAGCTCCGCAAAATTTGATGCAATCGATTATTTTTGACAGCACATATCGATTTTTTGTAACCTCTTCATTATGTTTTTGGATATTTGTCCAATATGCACTGTCAAGTTGAGCCTGTATATTTGTTGTCCCTAACAGAGACAGATGCATTTGATTTAAAATATGTTGCTTACTGTTTCCGTGAGTTTGTATGCGATCACTGAGGTGAACTAGATCACGGATGCCGGTTTGCGTCCACTTCGTATCTCCCCCAAACAATACGCATGGAAAGCAAAAGAACGCATTTTTGACGGTACAACCGCAAATCCACTTAGTTCTTGAATAAATCTCCCGATTAAATTTTCGAACGTACTCTTTTCCTCTACTTTTTCCTTTGAATTCAATCGTCATATCCGGCAAAGGGCGCCCTTCTTGTTTTATTCTCAGTTTTTCCTTCAGCGATAAACGCGAAAAATTTGCGAACTTCCTGGTAATGTCCTCCACATCCATTATTTATAAAAAGTAACGCTCACAGAAACAACAATAATCCCGAAAATAAACGCCAACGCAACATAGCAACCTGTTTCGGTACTGTCTTCGCTGCAGCTCCGTTATCCCCTTAAGCACGTGGTTAATTGACGTCATCTGCTAATCGTTGATTGGCCGAGAGGCCATAAAACTGAAAATTTCGGTACGCAGTCCCGTCTGAATGATTGGTTGCATAAAATAAGGATCGTAGGGCAGGGTTGCCAATGACGGTACAATTGTATCAATCTGGTACATTTTTGAGCATTTTGTACAAAAATACAATTCGATCTTTTTTGGTACGTTTTTATGAAATCACTGTAACGCGCACATTTGTAAGTTGCGCGAGGAAAAATTTACAAATGTCATTGATAATAAAAGAACAGGTCAACTTTAAAGTAAAACAATAGGAATATGCCGTTCTAGAATGAGCAAGTTCATTCATTCATTGTAATATGATGGTTTATGACTCTGACTCATAAATCCCCAGTCCAGTTCGTTTACTTTTGAAACAATACACCCTATATATTAAAACAACTACCTACACATTCTATTTTTGTTCAGTAAGAGTAACTAAGTCAGTGTCACATTAACTCAGTCGCTAATCAGTTTGGTGTTCTACTGTTTACTGTTTTACATTTGCTTTACGTGCTTTTTATAGTATTACCGTCGTAAAATATGGATAGGTAAGTAATTAATATTTTGTCGTAATTAATGAGTCATGTCAATCTATCATATCCACAGACAAATAATATAAGGGGACCGCGCATTGCCTATTCCACTTAATGCAATGTTTATGTTTTGATGCCAACATCATGTAGGAGGGGAGGGTGTTTGTTATTATTCTCTCTCTCTCATGCTTGTAAACAATTGTCCTACTTATACAGTGGCGTGCAGTTTTCGAGGGATATAAAATTCAAAATGAGCACTGCATATTGTTGTATTCTTTGGCACAGCTTTCTCATGAAATCCTAACACTTAATACCACACTCTCTTCTTTCGTTTGCCGTCGTGGGGTATCCTAGATAAAAAAATTTATACTATAATTAAGCAATGCTATAATATAGGTAAAAGTTTTGCGCACGCCTATGGCAAGCATATCAACCTATGTACTTACCTGTGAAACGATAAGTTAGGATAATTCCTACTACTTTTTTTGCACACATAGCATTGATTCACCATATTCTTTCTGATCAGGCTCACAAATTCACGAAAATCTAAAAAAAAGCGGTAAAAATCAACCCCTAACCTCAAAAAATGGTTACGAACCGGTACCGTCAGCTGTTGTTATTGTTTGTCCTACAATTCGCTTAGACGGTGATACATGTTGGCTTCACTTGAAAATGTAAATAACGCTATCCCCCCTTATTATTCTTTATCTGAGATCATATCTATTCATTTTTCATATTTACTGTTTGGTAATGATTATTGAATTGGGATACTTTCAGTTTGAGCACAAAAAATAAGATGATTGAGAGTAATTTCCTTGTTATAGATTTGTTATTAAGAAAAGAAAGGTTGACTCGGAGGCGGAACCAGTACAGTTTTCCAAAAGCAGCACATCTGTTTCTATTACACCATCAACCACCTCTTCTGTTTCTTTTGAGCCATCTACTTCCTCTTCTGTCAAACCATCTACGTCTTCCTGTTCTTTTATGAAATCTATGGCGACTTCCGTCACGCCACAATCACCTACGACTCATGAATTATACGATACCCAATCACAAAATGACCATGATAGTGATTCATCTTCCAGTTCCATCTCTACACACAAGAAAACCTATAAGCGAAAATTTAGAGATGTATGGTTAAGCCAGTTTTCGTGGCTTAAGTTGTTAGGAAATGGCAAAAAAATTTGCATCATTTGCAATAATTCCATTGAAGGAGGTAAAACGCATTTACAGCGCCATGAAAAAAATAAGAGGCATATGCAGCTACAAAAACAAGTTGCAAATACGGAAAATATATCCACACTTTTGCAGAAAGGTACAGAAAAACAAAACTTTCTAAATTCGGTTAAGGAGGCAGAATATAAACTAGTTATGGGTGTTGTTGTTGAACACAATAGTCCCATGCTTATTATGGATCATCTCCCAAAATTGCTAGCATCAACAGCTCCTGATTCCAAAATCATTAAATCGATGGCCTGCGGCAGAACGAAATCAACGCAATTGATCCACATGTTGAGAAGGGAAGCAGAGTCTACTCTTGTAGCAAAATTACAAGTCACAAAATTCTCCATTATCATTGATGAAACAACAGACGTATCATCCCAAAAATGCCTAGCAATATTGGTAAGATTCGTGGATCCGACAGCGCACAGCATTAGGGAAAGTTTGCTTGGTTTGGTAGAAGTGGAAGAATGCAATGCTGACGGGCTTACCCAGGCGATTTTGGATATATTGCATAAATTTCAAATCGACCCACAAAATGTAATAGGTTTCGCCGCTGACAATGCATCTGTAATGATGGGGCAAATTGGTGGTGTACAGGCAAAATTAAGAGAGAAAATAAACCAGGATATATTTGTTATTGGCTGCATCTGTCACTCCCTACATTTATGTGCATCTGAAGCATGTAAGAAAATTCCATCCCGAGTTGAAGAATTCGTTCAGGACGTATATAATTATTTATCAAGGAGCCCTAAACGGTTAAAGCTCTATGAACAATTTCAATAAGCTGCTCAAACTCAGTCAAACGAGATGGTTATCTTTAGAAGCGGTTGTGAAACGAATTTTGGAGCAGTGGCAAGGTTTGAAATTATTTTTTACATCAGAAGCGTTTGAGGAAAAGGAGTTTGATAGACCAAATAATATATTGGAAAAATTCAAGAATCACGAGTATGAACTTTATCTTACTTTCTTAGCGCACATACTTCCAATTGTTAACAAAATAAATATTGAATTTCAGTCAGAGAAGCCTAAAGTTCACTTATTATTTGAAAGAACTACTACTCTTTACAAGACAATACTAAAAAATTTTTTAAAACCACGATATGTTGATTCCTGCAATAATGTCTTCAAAGTCAACCCTTTAAATGTGGGTGAATATTTGTCAAACGACACAATCTATTTGGGTACCCGGCTTGAAACACTTATAAGGAAATATGATCTGAAGAAAGAAAATTTGCATGATGAGTTGTGTTTACAAATCCGCAAAAGATTTAGCCATCTATCAAAATATGAAAATTTTAAACTCCTTAATCCAGTAAATCTTTTGGAAAGCCCTGTATCTTTCACCCCACTTATAGAACAATTTCCACATTTTGTTGATAATAACAACGAAGAAGATATTTCATCGGAAGCCAGAGAGATCTCTAGTCTACCTATAGACGTAAAAAATAAATTAAAAGAAACTGAATTCACTGACTTTTGGTTCGAATTGAACACTTTTAAAAACTCTGCCAATGAACTTGTCTTCGAAAATGTATGTTCCTTTGTTTTCAAAATTTTGTCTTTGCCGCACAGCAGTGCCTCCGCCGAGAGAATATTTTCTCAGTTGAATTTAATCAAAAGCAAAATTCGGAACAGATTATTACCCGACACTTGTAATTCACTGTTAATGGCAAAATCATTGTTAGGTAGTAATCAGTGATTTGATTGGAAACCAGAAAGATCTTTACTGGAAAAGGATGTTGTATATAAGTAGTTTTTTGTTGTGTTTCTGTAAATATTTCATTAATAATCCCATACTTTTGTTCTAGTTTTATACAGTTTTATATGATAAAAATAAAAAATCGTTTCTATGCGTTTTAATGCTCCTATATTGGTATTTTAAGATTTCAGTACAAAAATTTGTAATTTGGTACATTTCTATCACACAGTTGGTACAATTAATAAAATCGCTCTGGCAACGCTGTCGTAGGGGAATAAATAGATAGGATAGCTACAGATATACTGTCGGTACTGGGTTGTAAATTGAGTAAATTCACACGTATTTACTTCTTTCTTGTTCTTAAATTTTGCCGGTTCTGCAGCACTGCAGCTCTTTAATACAAACCGCCACTGGGACCAACAATAGAACATAACGTTGTAAAATGTTTGTATACTCATTCTATAAAAAGATTGAAATTTGGCGGGATGTTTGTTTAATTCCGTTGCAATCAAATAGGTACTATGTTTACGATTTATATGATTATATGGATGCACCCAATAACGTCGTTCCTTTCTTTTTTTTTTTACTTTTTGACAATAATAAAAGACTTGTCACAACTGCAACAACCTCATCATCACTCTCCATTGTTTGTACTACTACACATTGAAATGTTCTGTTTCTTTAATTAGTATGGAAGAAAGAAACTGTTTCGCATTTCATAAGTTTTTATTTAATGTTTCACGTTTCATATTTCTTTGATGTGTGGCCTGCCTAACTGGAAGTCTAGGGTTAGCAACTCGTAGTGGTTGGATGTCGGCAGAACTTTTTCCATCAGTTTTGAAACACATTACAGCGTATACGCAATGCTCAAGAGACAATCCTATTTTTCTTTTAATGGATAAGCACTGCAGCCACATCAGTATCGAAGCCATTATTCAAAAGACAACGGTATAGTTGTGCTGACGTTACCTCCTCATTGCAGATAGTAGATACTAGATACATTAAATTCATGTGATTTCGAATACGCTGAGTCCCGTACAGCGTACTCCCGATTTTCAATCCGCAGTGGTAAATAGTATTTCTTCCCTAAACCCGGAAAGATTTAATGAGTCAGATCAGTGGCGGAACTACCGATGTTCAATGTTTGCGAAGTACACGGGCCGGGGCTAAAAAGGGACGACAATAAGAACNGAGAGAGAGAGAGAGAGAGGCAAGCAAATATCAAAGAGCAACAAGTCAGCAGAAACGAAGCAGGAAGCAGCAGTACATATGGCCATTGAACAAAAACATTTTTCATTCAATGATATGACATATGAGTAGGGGAGAAGGGGGGAATACCGCCCATGGAGGTAATACCGGCCTCTTTGTTTGTAACTTCGCGCGCCACTTGATTCAATTGTAACATGTGAAGACACCTACTAGGGCCAGCCTGAACTACACCAAAAATAGAAAACCGCTAAATATCTTCTTTTGACCAAGTAATGCAACCATTTGTTGTTTGTGTGTACGGCAAATTTCAGGAAAAAAATTTCTAAGGTAAGTAACATTATGATAAACTTATATTAACATAATGAATTATACACTGTTGTAAACGTCTTTAAAGTAGCTATACGATGGTCTATTAAGTTTTCAAGATAATTTAAGAAGATCTTTGTACAGCACCATAATCTTGACTGTAGTGTATGGGGCAATAACGGCCACATGGTTGCGGGAAATGCCGGCCGGCCGTGATTACCCCGATTCATTTAATCGTACGATTGTTAAAATCATGAACTCTTTACAGATGCCTCGTAAATACGGAAGGACCTCCAGTAAAGGACAATGGACTGCCCAAGATATGTATAATGCTGTAAGTGCTGTGAATGCCGGAAGAAAAGTTCGAGAAGTTTCTCGGGCATTTTCAATCCCACGCAGCACATTACAAGGAAGATTAGCAATCGGAAATGTTGCAGCCCCTACCTTTGGAAGAAGACCAGTGTTTTCTAAGGAGGAAGAAGAAGAATTAGCAATGACCGTTATTAGACTTTCAAAACTTTTTTTTGGTTTAACACCAGAAGAAATCAAGCGTTGCGCCTTTGACTATGCATCAAAGAAGAATTTGAAGCATCCATTCTCCGAACAAAAAAGACTTGCCGGCAGAGACTGGCTGGATGGTTTCTTGAGACGGAATCCGGAAGAAGCCTGAGAAAACCAGAACCCACAAGCATTAATAGATTAACAGCATTCAATAAAGAAGAAGTTTGTATTTTTTATTCTAATTTGGCCAAATTACTGGACAAATACAATTTCCCGGCAACTCGAATATTCAATAAGAGGATTTCAGGTCACAGGGATTTTTCCTTTTAATCCCGATATCTTCACCGAGGAAGATTTTGCACCAGCAGAAGCGTTACGGGAAGCTCCAACCAATCAAGAACCAAGGCAAGGCCAAACCCCAGAAAAAGCACTATCAAGAGTTCAAGAATTGATAATGAGCCATACAACTCCAGAAAAAAATGCCGAAGGAGAAAATGTATCTTCTCTGATTTGTTGCAGTTGCCAGGGTGCTCAGGTGTATCGACCAATAAGAAACCAAGAAAAGGGAGGAGTCGCAAGCAACATTCCGAAATTTTTACATCAACTCCCATGAAAACAGCTTTAGAGGACAAAGAAAATAAAAAAAGGAAAAAACAACACGTTCCTGCAGTGACTCTGTGCAAGAAGAAAGTGCTGAACGAAAATGGGCTATCTGAATTCAAGATTGTTCAAAGAAAACTGACAACAGAAATACGACAAAGTAGAGAAAGAAAATGTAAGTCAGGAATAGAAACTCAGTCTGAAGGCTGGTGTTGAAACGGGAGAAGAAACTGACGAGGAGGAAATAAACGGCGATATCTGCTTGTTTTGTGGCGAATTTGGCAAAAACAACGAGTTATGGCTACAGTGCGGATCTTGTGAAAATTGGGCTCATGCAGCTTGTGCAGGAAAAGGACGTGGGGAAACATTTGTTTGCGATTTTTGTAATTAAGAATTACGTTTTGGGGTAATGTCGGCCATGGCCGAAATTACTTCAAATGTTTGGGTAATACCGGCCACGGTTCGATAAAAAAAAATTATTTTTTTCTACAACTGTCAAAAAAACCTGTCATTTTCTGACGGATTTCGAAACGCGAAGTACTAGATTTTTAATCGGTTAATTAATAAGTAAGGTTGCTCTTGACAACGTGCGCGAAATCGTCAACAGTGAAAAAAAGTATTTTGCGCACGGGACAAAGTTGAACTTAAACAGCAATTTAATTAACAATCGGTTCAGTTGTAGAAAAAATATTGTATATAACGCTAGCGCGAAGTTATTTCGCGCATTTGACTGATATTTTAACTCGGCTTCGCCTCGTCAAAATACCTTCAGTCTCAATGCGCGAAATTGAACTTCGCGCTCTTGTTATATAAATAACTATTTTAAAATGTGTTTGTAGTTTTATTGCCTTATAGAATTAAATTTGTATTCTTACACCTTCATTCGATTTCTTTATATACTTTATTCAGACTTATTAGGCATTTTCAGTGACATATATAATAAAAGGCTTAGGTGGCTGCCATTCCCCCCCTCTACCCTAGTGCCCGCGGGCGGCGCGTTACAATAATGTGCATGGTTTGTGAATTGTGATTAGTATTTTGTATTTACGTGATTGCGTCCAATAACATAAACGTACCCCACCTACTTAGCGGAAGGATATCAAAAATTAATACCTATAAATATAAATCTGGTGCTCAAAAACGTAAAGAACTTGAAGAAGCAAATGCTAAAACGTCAAAGTAAGTCAAGATAATGAAATTTCGATTGTTTTTTCGTATAAGATTTTTTTATTCAAGTTGAAATCGCGGAAGATATTACCCCGTGCCCGTCGGTAGAGCGGTGCACCAACGAGCCAGAATCGAGTTGCGAGACGGAGGTATTTTCAACAAGCAATCAGTAAACACGAACAAAAGCTTAACCACAATGTATCTTGCGCCATATTTGATCGTTGGAGATTAAGTAAGTCTATTGATGTAGATCTCGATTCAAAAATTTAAATAATTTGTCAGTTAAATCCTAAACTTTGAAATGGAATCGTTGTCTTCCACGTCTAAAGAGTTATCTACTTTATATATTTTCAGGTTGCGTTAATTATAGTAGTAATGGGAGCCTGTCGCCATCCTTGCAACCCCATAGAAGTCTTAAATGAAGCACAATTTATCAAAATGTATCAGCTACTTCTTTTCATGAGTCTTGCATTTTCTTGCACGTCAAAGTCGTAGTTTGTTTCCCTGCTATTATATCGGGGTGTTTTTTAGCAAACTCCACAAGCCACCTTTTTTGGTTTTGCGTGGTATTGCACCCTCGCTTTGGCGTGTCCATCGTGTTTTGAGTATTCATGCTAATCAGTGCCTAAAATATTATTATTCTGTAATTTGAAATGACTGAGCAATATCTTCACCTCACCACCTAAACTCAAACCCAAACGTCAAATAGTCCGCTTTAGTTCTAGTCAAGCAACAAAGGCGACGTTGTCATATGCACTGTACGTTTCGGTACCAAGCAGTTACGTTTTCGTAACGGAACCAGTCAAAAATTACATTTGGAAAACGTATACGAATAGATGCGACTGGTTTCAAAAATCGACCCCCTGGTAACTATTATTGCGTGGTTAAGATGGGGGAAGTCCTACCCAGCCAACAAAGATATGTATCAAAGCTGTATAGATTATTTCCTTCCTAAGTATCAAATATATAAAATACTCCTACACGAGGATAGCTCTATGTCAGCAACATAGACATGTATCAACTATGTATATAATATTTCATTAGTAACATAAATGGTATGTTTCAATAATGTATTTGAGATATATAGATTATATATACATAAATGTATTGGAGATATATAGATCATATATACATAAATATATCTGTGATATATTTATTGTCATGTATAGATATGTTTCATAGACGTATCTTTTAACTAATTTATTATGTAAAATATACATAGCAAACGTAACACAACTCGTACAGGTAATTAATAATCTGTTAAATAAAAAGGTAATAAGAATATCAAAATAGGTATTTATCTTTCTCGGTCTGCTCGTAATTTTGCCAACCGGAACCATTCGCTGGAAATGCGTTCGAAATCGCTTTCCTTGACATCAACATATGAATTTATTGTGACACCTGTAAACGATAATCAATATAAATATTAAGCTAATTAGCATCAATGATTTACCTTTTATAATTTGCATACTTTTTGTGGTGCTAATTTTAAAGTTTCCTCTTTGTCCTAACCAAGAGCACTTTGTAGACATTTGGTTTGAATAAACTTTCTTTAAAAGACGGTGAATATTATCCTTTCCATTTTTACCACCAATGTTACTTAAAATTATGTGCTGAAAAAACAAGCAAATTTTAAAAGCGGCATATATTTAATAGCGATTACTTACAAACTGTTTAGTATGGCCTTCATTCTCTAATAAAACTTCAAATTGTTTGAGAGCATCAATATTAGGGATTGGCAGTAGATCGTTTATAAATTTTGTTTCAGCTGTAGGCTGATTACGTTCTTCAGTTGTCACCGAGTGTAATTTTTTTAAATTTCATCAATGCTACGTACATATAAATGGACAGAATGCAGCATTTCCAAAATTTTGTCTAAAAAAATATTAGCATTATTATATTTATTAAACAAGAAGCCTTTATCGCCTACCAAACTTCTTGTTAACTTCTACGTCGATTGCTACAGGAGTGGCTGGTGATTGTATGAATTCTTCTACACCATCAATAATTATCGGAATTTCTGATAAAATAGATATTTCGTCTATAACTTGAATGTTATCCTCGAAGTTGTTCTGGTTAACTTTCTCCACAGTGTTCACTTTTGCTAAAACAAATACAAAGAATCAGTGTGTTGTGCCTATATTGTTAAAAACTTTATTAAAATTTAAAATGTCAGTAAGGTCGCTGCATGCTATGTACTATCAATCCAAAGGTAAAATGCGAGGGGCAAACCACTTAGCAATTTTGATGTACAAGTAGTAGCAATTTTTGCAATTGTCCACCAATTGTGGCAATTTTCTAGCAATTGTGGCAATTTCGAGCGATTGCGACAATTTTTCAACAATTGTAGACATTTTATAGCAATTTTTGCAATACTGAAACAATTTTCGCGCAATAACGTAACGTGAAAATTACAAGTATGCCTATATAAAATTCTTGTTCACCCCTCGGTAAAATGTGAATAAATTATACTTACAAGTTTTTTTGTGACTAATAGCTCGTGGAGGAAGTCGCGGTGGTGGTGGTGACTTTGAAGATTCTGTAGATAAACACAATATATAATGCAAGTAATATGTTTTTTAAATTCATATTTACCTCTAGAATCAGAACTAGAATCTGTATTACAAGGATGAGTAATAGCCTTAGATCTTTTTCCTCGTCCTAAGGCTTTTTCATCTGCCGATGTATAATCCCGGTCTTCAGCTTTTTAGTAAAATCTTTTCTGCTTCTTTTCATTTTGTTTTGTTGTGTAAGGTCCAAAAACTTGCTACGAACAAATATTAATTGACGATCAGTGATGCGGTAACTATCGCAAGGTTTAGGTAAGTGCCAGGTTACTCATTTAATATACCTTTGCAAACTTGTGAACGTCGGTTACTAAACAAACCACAAAGTGTATTTTTGAGCGTCGCCCTAATGAAATATGTTAAAAAGAATCGTACATGAAGTGCATATAAAGTTAGGTTAAGATCGCTTTAATGTACAAATTTTAATCAAATATAAAAACTTTCTAGGTACTTACATGTCGCTGGGTAGCACGCCAAAAACTAAAACTTCACCACAGAACTGTTTGTATATATATTATAATAATAAACACAAATTAAACTTTTATTAAAACCACCCTAATTGCATCAAATTTTCGGAAGCGTGTGCATGTGCATAAAGTCCCTGGAAGTAATCTAGGGACTTTACATGTGCACAATTCACCGTGCCTTTGCGCATGTGCTTAGTGTTATTAATTTAAACTTGTGAATGTAGATTGTATTTGCGATATATCGCATATGTTCAAGTTGCAATGTATCATAAAAGTTGTATAGTAATATATACCGTGAATATGTTCTCAAAGGATGTGTGATACATTTCAAAATAAAAGAAATGTTATGTAACATGTACAGAAAATCGTTATATAACGAGTGTAATATGATTGAGCTTCGCATGCTATATATCATTTATATGCATGTTTGCTGGGTAGTGATCAAATTTATCAAAGAAATGGTCTTTAATTTGGCTTACCATCTTTATGCCTATTGAACTACGACTTTCCCCATTTAACCACCACCATATATATATATATATTATATATATATATATATATAATATATATATATATTTTCAGAAAAGATATATATATATATATAATTTTCAGAAAAGATTAACGAATAACGATGAGTGATGGGCGGAAACGATTGAGTGGTTCTGGCTACCGAAGGGAAGCTCAGAGAAAACTGGAAAAACAAAGAGAAGCAGTAGAAAAAACCGCCAAGATATCAAATTTTTTTAAGAAAATTAATGAAAACTTAAAATGTACCCTTCCCGACGACAATGTCACTTCGTGCGGTAGCGGTAATTCTAGTCAGACTCGCGTCGAAGAAGTTGATGATCCTAATGACGATGAAGTATCGATTAAAGAACCAGTTCGTCCACTTTCATCAAGTTCTTTAAATGAATAAAAAGTTAAATCGTTCCTTTGGACGGTAAGATTGTTGAAAGTGCTTTGTGGCAGGTAAATGACTTTACTCGTGAATATGTGGTAACAAAAGGAATCACCCAAAACGCTGATGGACTGGACTTATCTCAAAGATTAATTGGAGGGCAAAATCGTTATTTATCCAAGTCCCTATTCAAAACAAAGCTGATAAACGGCAAAGAGATCAAAAGATCGTCGTACTTGATGTATTCCGAGAGTAGTGGGAAACTGTATTGTGTTCTCTGCCAGTTATTTGGCGGCACAACAAAATTTGCGAAAGGAAGTTGTGATGATGGAAGCATGGAAATGAAATTTTAAAATCGCACGAAAATTCCTCTGATCACAAAACATGTATATTGGCAGTGAAAACCAGGATCTAATCGAAGGATATACACTCACTGCTTTCAAGTCAAATCGAAGACGAGAAAAACTACTGGCGCAATGTATTAAAGAGAGTGGTTGCAGTAGTCAAATCCCTGGCAGTTGCAGGCCATATATATATATAATATATATATATATATATATATATATTTATACACCCGTACTTATGGCAATGTAGATTTGGCTACACCGCTTGCGTAAAAAACCCGGGAAACGTGTATTGCAACAAGTACACTTCGTAGTTCCGTTGACATATACGTATAATTATATTGCGGTGAGTACCGATATTTATGTTAGATACAAGCAATATGTGTTGCCTAAAGGACAGATTCGAGAAAGTAACTAATCTTCTGAATTCCAGGTTTTGTGATTATCCGCGAAAACAAAGCGATGCTTTATAGGAGAGTCGATGTTGTCCGTGAACACGGTAACTGCCAAACTTGTAGATAGTGAGTTCGTGAATACAAAATAAGCAAGGCCCTTTTGACATCACCGTTAGTTATGAACCGAATTGCATGAAATTTGATACTTAGGCACTGAGAATAAAAGCAAATCTAACGCCAGTATCAAAATTTGGTTTTGCGCAGCGCTAACTTTTTTATTTATAGGGGCATTTAAATAAAATTTGATACATTGGCACTTGAAATAAAAGCCAGTCTAACGCCAGGATCAAAATTTGGTTTTGCGCAGCGTCAACTTTTTAGCGTAAACCACAACCTCCACAATGAAGTTGTGGTACAGCTGCTTATGTGCTCGTGTTTCCGTCTGTCCGTCCGTCCGTCCGTTCCATCGAGATCTCGGCCCCTGGGCCATCTAGAGACTTCGGGTTTTCGCTAATTGATAGCTGTTATGGTCTATATTAGTACATTTCGATCAGTTTTATTTAACTCCATATTTTGCGCAGACTGCGCAATGCCAACTTTCTTACTTATGGAGATATTTCTTTGAAATTTTAACCACAGATGCTTCTAGTAAAGGCAAACATTTCGCACATATTAAAAATTATGTGTGGGCATGCGCAGTGACTGCGCAATGCCAACTTTCTTATTTATGGAGATATTTCTTTGAAATTTTAACCACAGATGCTTCTAGTAAAGGCAAACATTTCGCACATAGTAAAAGTTATGGGTGGGCATGCGCAGTGACTGCGCAATGCCAACTTTCTTATTTATGGAGATATTTCTTTGAAATTTTAACCACAGATGCTTCTAGTAAAGGCAAACATTTCGCACATATTAAAAATTGTGTGGGCATGCGCAGTGATGTGTGGATACTGAGCAATGCCAACTTTCTTATTTATGGAGGTATTTCTTTGAAATTTTAACCACAGATGCTTCTAGTAAAGGCAAACATTTCGC